TGAGGGGCAGGACGCGGCCACGCGCAAGGACACCTGGGAGTGGGGGGCAGGACGCGGCTACGCGCAAGGACACCTGGGAGTGAGGGGCAGGAGGCGGCCACGCGCAAGGACACCTGGGAGTGAGGGGCAGGACGCGTCCACGCGCAAGGATACCTGGGAGTGAGGGGCAGGACGCGGCTATGCGCAAGGACACCTGGGTGTGAGGAGCAGGACGCGGCTACGCGCGAGGGCACTTGGGAGTGAGGGGCAGGACGCGGCCACGCGCAAGGACACCTGGGAGTGAGGGGCAGGACGCGGCTACGCGCGAGGGCACTTGGGAGCCAGCAGGGCGGTGCCGCGCGCGGAGACTCGGAAGCGCTGGAGCCCAACGGCCGGCCGCGCCGCGCGGGAACGCCAGGGGCCGAGGCCCCGCCCCGGCGGGTTTGAACCGAGCCCCGCCCCGCGATCGGCCAATCCGCAGGCCGACGGCTTCTCCGAGGCGGCTCTTTGTGGGCGCCGACGGGCTCCAGGGCGCTGAGCGGAGCGGCTAGGCGGTCTCGCGGCGCAAGTGAGTAACGGCTCGGGTCGGAGACCCGTGGGGGCGGCGGGGCTCCCGAAGACCCCGGGCCCACGGGGCCCCGGGTGACGCGTGAGGGCGGCTTCCCCCGAGGGCGTGCGGGCGGGCGTGCGGGACCGGCGCCTTGCCCTCGGTGCCGCGTCTCTTCTGTCCGCTGCTCACGCCCGGCGTCCGAGCGCGGGGCTCCGGCTCCCGGCGCCAGCCTGGCGGGTGCTGCGGCCCTTTGTTCCCTCGCCCCACTGCCACGGAGAGGCGCGCCAAGCACATTTGGTGGCCGCTTTTTGTCCTAAACTGGTCATTCCTGGCCCAGTGGAGCTGCTTCGGATCCCAGGGATGGACCCTGGCCACCCTGGGACATCCGAGAGACTGTCCAGAGTTCCTGTCCCTCGACACAGGGTCCCCAGGCGAGGCTGCTACTCGTGGCGACGCCTTGGCCCGGACGACGCCAGCGTTTCTCTCGCTGGGCCTTGTGTCTGGCGTTTCAGAGCAGTATCGAGCAACCTTCCCGCTGGTTGATCCGCTGGGGGGAGGCCCGGAGGGTCGGCTCTGCGGCTCTCGCGACCGCCCCTTATTTGTGAAAGGGCGTCATGTTTATAGAGTGACATTGGAATAGAGTCAGCTGTGACCTTTCTTGGTGCCCCCTGGAAAGGGCCCAGAAGTTTCCTTCAAGTGCTACTGGCAAATGGTGCTTCAGAGGGTCAGAGGTAGCCAGAATCAATCTTTTAGTAAAGTACTATGGAAGATTTCGAGCAGAGAAGCATGGATGGTGACTTCCCCAGTGCCATCCTGAGCCTAGAGGCACAGGGACCTAACCCTGCTCTTGAATGAATATTTCAGAGTAACTTTCACTGTGCGATGGGAACAGAAGTGCTTAATGGTGATTCTCTTTAAAATCCCAGTGCCCGTGAAAGTGTCCCACCATGGCGACAGGGACAGCGATGATGTTGACAGGTTAGGTCAGAAACAACTGTCCCTACCACCTCAGACCTTTTGATCAGACCCTGGGGACCTGCATTTCCTGCTGGCCACTGCGATGTGCCAATAAATGAACTGCTGGCGATCAGATGTGAGTGCCTTTATCTTGTAGTTCCTCTTGTGTGCTGTCACTGTTAAACCACCTTTCTCACCACAGGCCTCTACTGTTCTTGTTGTGTTAGAGCCTCGCTGTCCACCTGACTCCCTCTTTAGCCAATGTTTGGTCTGGAGGAGGCCTTTGTGCAGTACCATGGACCGACTACTGGCTTTGACTGTTCCATGGACACTAGTTGGTGGGTGTTAGGCACTTAACTTGATGGAAAAGACCTGAACCTGGGTGGGAAAAAAAGCCGGAAGCCAGATTCTGCAGCCACAAAGGAGCAGGTTATTTTTTTCATCCCCAAACTCAGAGGGTTCAGCAGCCTCAAGCCAATATGTGGGTGGCTCCAGGCAGCTTGTCCAGGTCAGGCTGGGCCAGCCTGCGCACCTTCCAGGCCCTACCTGGGTTAGAGTTTCCTCTCCCAGTCCATGTGTACATTCAGGCTGATGAGGTGCTTCTGGGTGTGTTGTCTCTATGGTGAGGGAAGCCCAGTACCGCCTGCAAGGCAAACCAGCTGTGGGTGAGCACTTTTGCAGCTCTTTCAACTCTCAGACAGGCTCCTAAGGCCCATGGCTGAAGGCATGCAAGGGTCTTTGTGCTCCCCAGAGACCCATGACCTGAGATTTTTAAGGACCCTTCTGGGAAGGGGACATAGGGACACCAAAGGCAGTGGTGCTCAGTGTAACTTCTTGAGCTCTGCCTAAGTGTGAGATGCTAATCTCTGGCCATCCTATCTTTGTACCTTTAGTGACTTTCCCTTGGTCAGCCATACTGATCTCCCATGGAGCAGCTCACTCAGTGAGATGCCATCACCAGATTTCCAGAGTCAGGGAGGGTGGCCAGGAGTTCTGGCTGTAATCTAGGGCTTAATTCATATCATTTGAGTGAATTTGGTGGACTGCTACATTAAATCTTGCATAGTTGAAATTGTGGATATGGTTGAAAAGGGATAAAGAAGTGAAAGAACTTGCCACAGAACTACTTTGGGGGCTTAGTTCTTCCCTCAACTTAGGGTGTCTTTTTGTAGTTTGTAGTAATCTTATAATTCTTAGTAAACTTAGAAATTTTCACCAGTGACTTTTTATTTTCATTTTATTTATTTATTTGCAGAACTGGGGATTGTACTCAGGCCCTTGTGCTTGCCAGGCAAATACTTATTCTATTGAGCTATCTCCCTGGCCCCACCAGAGACTTTTTAAAAACTTCTGTAGGAGTTAACTTGCACCAAGACAGAACATGAGTACAGTATCACCAGAAAAGATTAAAATACTTTTTATGTACTTTTATGATAAACTCTTTTAAAATAGGTGGTATTTTAGCTGGCATATGGCTGTTGGGGCTGTTGGTGAGTAATACCCACTTAGCATTCTGGGAAATTAGACTTGCAGGAGAAATAAACAATGAATCCGTCTTAACTTGTATTTTGAAATATACCCTGTGCTCAGGCGGCAGAGAAATGTCAGGGGCTCTGAGTACTGTCCGTGTGAGCTGTGGTAGTTGGTGTCCACTGACACAGCTGGTGCAGGGTTATACGAGGTCTGGCACATTTGCCCAGGTGCAGAGTGCCCTTTGTGGCCGGCCTGCTCCTTGCCCTAGCCTTGGCACTGCACAACTGCCCTATGAGTGGCATTGCATGGCATGTGGCCCTGGAAACTGACTTTTCCATCCCAAGCTGGAAGGAACTGTTTGCAGTTCAGGGCCGTTGCAGATGGAGTGTGCGGAACCTTCTTAGACGTGTTTTCATATGAACCTTGGCTTGCTTTTCTTTGGGATAAATGCCCAAAAGGTCACTTAAATAAAACGTAAGAGGATTGTGTGCACAGGAGGTAAGATCTTTGACACTGAAGAAGAAAGGCAGACCTTTGTTTCTGTTCCAGGGTTGGGCGAGTGTCCACAGGGAAGACCTGGGGACATGAGCTAGTGGCCAGTTCTTACCCTGCCGTGTCCCAGGCTCCGCCTGCCTCTTCTCCAGGGGCAGTGCATGTCTCTCCCACCCAGTTTCCCAGAGGTACCTGGCACAGGAAGCCTTTGGATTGAATTTTCTAAAAATGAACCTGAAGTTTGCACATTTAAAAGACTATTTGTTTAAATGAATGAATTTGTTCATCTGGCTTCAAATGAATTATTCGAAATTATAGTATTTGGCTACATTACTGAATGAAAAAGAGGAGTTTAGTGTGTCCTAGCTTAGCTTTGTGCTGTGCAAGGCAGCCATTGGGGAAGTTTATGCTGGTGTCAGAACCTTCCTGGCCCTGGTCTGAGTCAGGTTTGCAGCTCTGAGGCCCTAGCTGTGCCCCGCAGAGCTGGACCTTTCAGCTGCTGCTTGGGCGTGTGGGACGCAGGGCCAGTGTGAGCCCTGGACTCGCCGGCCCTCGGCCCTCTGAGGACGCTGAAGCTGCCGGTAAAGAAGCACAGCTGCATTTGCTGCAGGCACCTTTCTGGGTCGTAGCTTCTCAGCGAGCTGCCTGTGATAAGCAGTAGGGTTTTGTTAGCAGCCAGGAGAGCAGGATAGCTCTACTCCTGGCTGGGCTATCACCCTGCAGACTGCTGTCACTGTCCCCTCTGTGGTAGTACACTTGATGCCTCACTGTGAGGTCCCCGTTCTCCCATAGTCAAGGCTGAGGTTCTTGGGGTGCAATTTCAGTGTGGCTTTTTCTCTGGTTTCTATCCATTTACCTGTTGATGGAGGAACTGCTATAGCTTAAGTTACAACTTTATTATCCGTGACATACAGATACAGGACTGCTGCAGGATCAGTCTTTGCCCCGTGAGCACTGTTGCCCCTTCATTTTCTCTGAGGATTGGAGACTGTGCAGGGTTGCTATCTGTGAGGGGTTTGGAAATGTGCTACCTGGATCTTTCTTTTTTTTTTTTTTTTTTTTTTGTTGTTGTTTCCCATAGTTTTATTTCTTTCTTGGTTTTTACAGGGCACAATGTTTGCACGAGGACTGAAGAGGAAATGTGTTGACCAGGAGGAAGATGGGGAGGGTACCCTGGCCGGCTTTAGCACCATCCCTTCCTATAGCCTGCAGCGGCAGTCACTCCTGGACATGTCCTTAGTCAAGCTCCAGCTCTGCCACATGCTGGTGGAGCCCAACCTCTGTCGTTCAGTCCTCATTGCCAACACCGTCCGGCAGATCCAGGAGGAGATGACCCGGGATGGTGTGGGGCGTGGGGCAGCACCCCAGAGCACTGGGCGGGCCCCACTTGACCGCCTGGTGTCCACAGAGATCCTGTGTCGCACAGTGAGGGGACCGGAGGCTGGGGTCCCTGCTTCTGACCTGGGTGATGGCCCCCTGCCAGGCCCACCCCCTGGACTTTGCACAGCCGACTCAGCAGAGGAGCCCAGGAGCCCTCACAGCAGCCTTTGGGAAACGGACAGTCCTCGAGAAAACAGGGGGAGTTTCCACAAGTCGCTAGATCAGATATTTGAGACTCTGGAGCATAAGAGCTCCAGTTCCATGGAGGACCTGTTCTCAGACATGGACAGTTCTTACTATGACCTGGACACCGTGCTGACTGGAATGATGACCAGCGTCAAGCCAGGCCTCTGTGATGGGCTGGAGGGCTTTCCTGCAGCTGCCCCACCTCCTGCCTCCACCTGCAAGTCTGACCTGGCTGAGCTGGAGCATGTGGTGGAGATCCTGGTGGAGACCTGAGAGGAAGCCCCTTGATGGGTCTCGGACACAGCTGGTGCCCCACAGAGACAGAGGGGACTCCTGCACGAGGAGTCCTCACAGCCCTCACCCAGCTGCCCTGCCCAGCCTGGCTGTTTGTGGATTCTGAAAATGTCCTAGAACAGATGGCCACCGACAGGTTGCAGTTCCTCAGGTCTGCCCTCGCTTTTCAAGGAGGGCGGTGTAGCGTGTGTGGCTCGAGGAACTGGGCGCACCCTGAGCTCTCAGCCCTGGGCTGGCTGACAACTCACAGCGCTGGGCCTGTGTCTTTTGGTGTCTAAGCTGCTGCTGTCATGGAAGATGGCGAGAGCACAAGCGACATCTGACCTGGTTTAAATTTAGATAGGTGAACTTTTAAAAATTAAGTTTTATATGTTTTGGACACTATTATCTTAAGATATATTTTTAAAACTTTTATACTTTACCCTCTTAGGTTTTTTTCCACTATTTTCTTAAAAGTATATTTTTTTGGGAGCCGGGGAGATGGCTCAGTAGAATAAGTACTTCCCTGGCAAGCGCAAGGGCCTGAGTTCAATCCCCTGTTCCACCAAAAAAAAAAAAAAAAGTATATTTTTTCTATGAAACATCCTTTGCTGCTACTTTGGAAACTTTAAAGGCTGAACAGTTGCAGTTGGTGTGCTTGGTTTTTTGCAAGGTTTGAATAGGGGATTTTTTTTTCTAAATGAGTTCTTCCACACTCCATGGTAGCACAAACCTATCATGGTTTTCTGCTTTAGCTTTGTGTGCGGCCTTTTGTGCTTGTGTCCTGTGCTGCTGTTACAGTGGAGCCACATCTGGCAAAGCTCCTTACGACGAGGCCCATGCACAGCTACAACGTGTTAGTCCCTAGATCCACCCTGAGCACAGCTGCCTAGACTTCAGTGTAGGGAGGGCTTTACTTATGCCGATTTATATGTAAATCCCCTGGATAGGAAGTGCTAATATTTGTATGGAAGTCACAGACATCAGCTGCTCTCCAGAGACAGTGGGATCTGGGGTGCTGTCCCCTAGGTCACGTGCAGGGGACACTGCACTCCCAGCTCCTGGGCACCTTCCCCTGGGTCCATCTGCTGCTTGCAGTGTGCACAGCTAATGCTGTGTGCCAGGGTCCATGGCATGGAAAGGGTGTGCTTGCGTGTTGTTTTACTGGAAAACGCCTACATTTGCTCTGTTCAATTGATTTGGGGGCAACATTTTAAGGTTTTGTTGAAATCTGGTGTGAAAGAAGTCTGGTTCTGACTTCTGGCTGCTTGGACCTGAGGGTCATTGAGGAGCTGCCTGCGCCGAGCCGAGCCGAGCTGGGTTGGCGCTGCCCTCCCAGCCTCCGGCTCCCAGTCTGGTCCTCTAGAGTGCAGCAGCTCGTCTTTCCTGTTAGTCATGTGCTTTTCTGATTTCCTTTTCTGTGAGCCTAAAATGTTCATTGTTTTGTTTTGTGCACATGACCATTCTTTAATGTTGGTGATGTAAACCTCATTTTATTAAACAAGTATCCAACAAACAATGGAAAGACACTGTAAATCGTCTACTGTGTCATGATGTGTTTTCCTCGTTGTCTTCAGTGGTAATTAACTGCTCTTTAGGGGTAGAAAAAGAATTCCATGTAGATGCATTCACTAGGCAGTACGTGAATGGCACTTTATTTTCCTGTCCTCACAGAGTTCCAGAGCGGAACTACCCTCATCCTGTTCAGCAGCTCACCAGCCTCATGGGCTTCGGCTTTGGTTGGGCAGTGTGCGCCTTTGCCAGGCTCAGCACCATCACAGCAGAGACTGCAGGTGAGCACAGGCCTGGATCCTGGCCCCAGGTCCACAGAAAGCCTCTGCCGCTCCAGAAAGTGTTCTTGTGGGAACCAGCATAAAGGGTGTGCTATGTGATAAGCTGTACGCAGTTATTTCTCTGGTGTTTCTGTCTTTTCTAAATACCACTCGTTCAGTTTCAGTACTGGCTGTGGTGTCTCTCTTGGCAGCCTTGAAGGGTGTAATGTATTGGAGCCAGACACTTAGTGCCTGTGGGCTGGCTGTAGGATGCTGGTCAGGCCAGGTAGACCCAACACTGGTCATCTGCAAGACAGCGACATGAACAGTGGGCCCACCGCTGCTTCCTACTCTGAGGTGTCCGCCTCTGGCCTTTGGGAGTGGAAGGCTGAGACGCTAGCTGTGGCCGTATTTCCTGGGGTCCTTCTACTTGCTGGTTCATAGGAAGGTCTCTCTGTCCTTTTTTTGAGATAAGGTCTCACTATGTAGTATAGGCTGGTCTTCCTGCCTCTGTCCCGAGTGCTGGCATTACAGATGTGTGCCACCAGCCTGGCAAGGATAGTACTTATTTCTGTCCTGGTGTCTGTCTAAGCAGGTGCTTTAGTCCGCTGAGCTATATGGCCAGCCCTTTGCATACATTTCTTGCCAAGTTTAATCATAAATGTATAGGGTTTTTTCTTTATCTTCAATCTCAGGCTGTCCTTCCTGGCACCATGGTTCGGTTCCTCACAGGAAGGCCCCCCCAGTCCTCACTGTGCTGTGTTCTCAGTGCCTGCTGTGGGTTTTGGAGGAGGGAGGAGAGAGGCTGTGCTGTAGCTGTGTGCCGGCTGTCGTGCCGGCCTTTGCAGTGCCACCTTCTGGGGAAGCGGCTGTCCTCAGGGAGCCAGGCCTCACTGCTGCAGGCCCCAGTCCTCAGCCTGGCCGGGCCACCGTGCCCTGCCCAATGGGCTGTGTGCCTCCTCTCCCTACACTACTGCTGCACACTGTCCTGAGCCATGGGCTGAGCAGCTTTGTTTCTGAGTCCACAGAGCCAGCTGGAGGCCTGCCTCTCAGTCCACCCTGGGGAATCTGAGCGAACTGGGAGGGCCAGGAAGTGTCCTCAAGGCTTGGTGCCCTGGGCTGAGCTGGGGGGCCTCAGCTATTGAGTATGGGGACATTGCTCTTGGCACTGTTGGGCCTGGGGCTCACTACACCCCAGCCCTCAGGGTCTGGTCTGAGCCGTACTAGCTGTGCTGTGCTTTGCTCTGGGCTGCTCCGCATCTATTTCATGAAAGCTCCCCCCCCCCATATGGATAAGCTGCCCCTCCTGGGACTTGGAGTCCCTTCAGGGTCACCATAGTGGTGCACCTAGCTGCTGGTCCAAATTGGCCACTGAGGTGGGTTTCTAAGTATGCAGGTCTCAGGGTCAAGACTTCAGGATAGACTCTGGTGGCCTGTTCCCCACCCCTGCTCTGTAGACTGCTGGGTACACAGCACCCAACCCCTACCTGGGGACCTTTTGTACCTCAGGGCCTGTCAGGGTCCCTTGTACCTGGGTGACTGAATGCCAGAGCAAGGGCTCGATTCCCATGGAGGCTGCTTCAGGGCTTGGGCAGGGTGGCACCTCTTGCCTCTTGGGCTGGAGGCTAAGGCTGGGCACTGGTGTATCATCTCTCCTGCCCCAAAGCCCAGGGCCCTTGGCGAGAGGCACTGGCTCTGCAGGGTACAGCTGGGGGCCAGTAGACGGGCCGTGGACATAGGCACTGTCACAATGTGAATGATGTGTCCCTAGTGTCCTGTAACAGCTCGTGTTCACATGGCTCTGCTCCCCTGGAGGAGCAGAGGTTCTTCATGTGGACAGTGGCACTACACACACCCACACGGTCAGCCTCTCCTGTTGGCTGTTTTTTCAAGAACTGAGCAAGTACAGGGGGTTCAGCCCCATCTGCTGGGTGCAAGCTCAGCCTTGTCACCCACGATCTGTGCCAGGCCTAGTCACCAGGTGTGACCTCACTGTTCATTCCAGGCTATTTATTTTTGAGACAGGGTCTCATTGTTAGTCCAAGCTGGCCTCAAACTCACAGCAGTCCTCTTGCCTCAGCCTGTCAAGTGCTGGGATTGCAGGTGTGCACCATTACGCCCAGCCATTCTAGATCTTTAAAGGAATTCTTCACGCTGTCACATATGTATGTATTTATGGTGTTGTTTTCAAATATGTCTACATTTTTGGGGTGGCAAAATTGAGCTGTTTACAAATGCATTACAATGATTTTTTGTAATGACAGCACTTCTAGTCTACTCTTACTAATTTTCAGTTCATTGTGTTAAGTACTCTCAATACCTCAGAGCTGCCCTGTAGATCTCCTGAACTTGCCCCTCTCCTCTGAGGCTGTGTACACTTGGACTGATTTCCCACCTCAGGGAACCCCTTCTCAGCATCCGAGTGCCATCTGTTAAGGCTCTCTATAAATGAACTCGTCTCTCGATGCCGGGCTTGCTTCTCTGAGGGGCCCTGCCTTCCACCAGCTCCAGTCTCCAGGCCGAGTGAGGGTCCCTAAGCTCCTGCCTCGCTCCTTCTACAGGCTGCTGTGGGCATGCGCTTGATTCCATGGCTTGGCTGTGTGTGGTACTGCTGTGAACCCTGATAAACACATGGGGTACCACTGTGGCCTCGTGTGTAGGTGCAGCTGGGGGGACTGCCATGCTGTTGTCCTGCCAGCTATACAGCCAGCTCCACTTTCAGACCTTCCCACACCTCTGGCATTAGCCACCCTAAGGGGGTGTGTGCTAGCTCATTGTGCTGCTTTCAGTTTCCTTCCCGATGATCAGAGACTCCACGTGGAGCATCTTTTTTCATATGCATTTGCGTGTTTTTTTGTGAAGTAATTATTTGGGTCCTTTGTCTGGTTTTTGCTTTTTTCCCTTAGTCTGGTTTTTTTGTTGTTGTTATTGTTTTGTTTTTTCATTTTTTGCTCCCAATTCCTAGTTTAATAAGGACTTGTTTATCTTGAGAAAAAAAGATCTCAAACATCAGGTGTTCACAAAAAATAACCCACAGTACCAGTTTTTTTTTGTTAGAAAACAGACTATTACACTAAGTTTTCTAGAGGATGCATTTGACATGCTCTCCTTCACAAAAATACATTACATTTGTGTTTAACAGCCCCACAAAGTACTTGATGAGGGTGATACACGTAACTCTTAAGCAAAGCTGCTTTCAGATGCTGCACTGAACGAGGCTGCCTTTGCAGTTAAGGAAGCAGCTACTGAAATCATGTACAAACGGAAATAACTACACTGCCTGCAGAATGAGAGGTTATTGTGGAGACAGCTGATAAAAGCCATGCAGCAACCTTTTTATTGTTAAGTCATAAAGAGGTATCAAAATTAAAAAGCAAAATTTACAGACGACTTAACAAAATAGGGGGCTGGTGAGATGGCTCAGTGGTCTAAAGCACCTACTTAGAACAAACTTAGCAAAGCACAGGGACCGCGGTTCAATCCCCCAGCACCACATGCCAGCCAGCCCCGCCCCCTGGTGGGCTGAGCTGGCCACACACGCACGCACACATAAATAAATAAAAGAAAAAGAGAATATTTAAAAAAAAAACAAAAACAAAAAAACAAAATAGGAACATCAAAAGAATTGTAAATGGTACTAGGCGCAGGGCAATTATGAACATGGTAGGACACAGGAAGAACAGTGAGCATGTGCTGAAGATACTAGGGAAGAGGATCTGGTGAAGTTTTGATCTTAGACAAGTGCCTAGATAAAGAAATAATGGGACAAGACTTCTCAACCCAACTATGTGCTTAAGAGTCATCCTCTCCTTCCTCAGCCTTTTTCATCATCCGTGATCAACTCCAGCGTTTTCACCTGGTCCTCCACCCAGTCTTCATTTTCATCATCATCCAGTAGCTCCCGCTCCTCAGCAGTCATCCGCAGCACACTCAGACTCCATCTTCACATTAGTCTCTTCTTCTTTTTTTTTTTTAAATTTTTAAATTTTTAAATTTTTTAGTCTCATCTTTCTTCTGGGAGGTGGTGGTCTGCTCCTTTTCGGTCTTACCATTCTTCATCTTCACTGCTTGTTTGCTCTGTTCCTTTTCAGTTTTCTCCAGGCTTTCCAGTAAAGAGTCCACTTTTTGTTTTATCTGGGTCAGCTCCTTCTTAATGGCCTGAAGGTTGTCACCTTTCAACTTTCCAGATTTGGATGAAGTTCTCCGCTGGCCACTCTTAGAATTGAAGCCACTTTTGCCTCTTGGGGAGGTGTTTCCTGATGCACGCTGGCGTTTCGAGGGCACCACAGCCCAAGCAATAGGAGGAGGAGGAGGAACACGTGCCGGGTAACTGTCCATCCTGTCACAATAATCACGTTGAAAATCATAATCCAAGTCAGAAGAGGAGCCGAGTAGAGGGGACGGAACAGGGCGTTCTGGTGCTGACCCGGACGTCTCCGCTGCAGATGGTTTCATACTGGCTTTTCCTCTGCTCACTGCTGGCTCTGCAGCCAGATTAATACCTAACTCCTGCCCAGCAATCATCCTGCCGTCCTCCAGCTGCAGCAGGCGGGCATTTCTCTCATTAACATACTGCACAAAGGCAAAGCCCTTATGAACGCAGCAACCCACAATGTTGCCGTACTTCGAGAAGATGGCCTCCAGATCACATTTCTTCACAAGAGTGTTCAGATTCCCAATGAACACTCGGGCATTCATGGAGCGAGGATCTGTCTTGTTGGTAACATTGCTAGCCATCATGTTTGAAGATAAAGTTGCTGACAGTTAACAAAAACTGTAGCTGAAGATCAAAACAATCTCAGGAGAGGGATGAGAGAAGAGATTTGATTCCAAATCTCCGGCTTCGTGGATTTGATTGCTGCTGGAGGTCAACAACGTGGAGCAACCATTCAGTCCCCATCTCTACTTGGTCTGTTTTCTGATTGGGTTATTTTCTTGTGTCGAGCTGAGCTCCTGTGTACTCTGATAACGACCCCTCACCAGACATCCTGTGACTCCTGTATCCTCCGTCTCACTTCCTTGGCTCTCATAGTTGTACCTCTCATCCTCTGAATGAACCCAGGGCCTGAGCACCGAGGGAGCTACATCTCCAACTCTTTCAAGACAGGATTTGCAATGTTTCCCAGGGTAGGCTCAAGTTGTCACCCTCCTGCCTTAGCCTCCCAGAGTGCTGGGATTATAGAGCATGTGCTGCCATTCCCTGCTGCATCCCCCCCCCCCATGCTGTTCCACATTATCTTCTGGATGAAAAAGAAAAATTAAGCCAGTTTCCTAAACATACGGCGGGCTGGGGAGATGGCTCAGTAGAATAAGCGCTTGCCTGGCAAGTGCAAGGGTCTGAGTTCAATCCCCAGTTCTGCCAAAAAATAATAATAATAATAATAATAATAATAAACATATGGCATGCACACACACAAATAGAATTACTGCTTTACTATAAATCTTAAGCCACATCCGAGGTAAAGCTGGCAGCACAGCTGTCAGGTGTAGGTGGCCAAGGGCCAGAAGGGTGACAGCCACTCCCTTCTCCCTTTAGAACAGGAACAGCTACCATCACTTCGTGACCTAACGATGCCCTTATCTGGGTCACTAGGCTGGGAAGCTGGCATTTTCCAGAGAAGCTGGTCCCCAGGATTGCCTGGGCAGAGACAGACAATAGGTTCCAACTACAGCCTCTGATCTCTCCAGTGGCTTCTCTTTGTCAGCCCCTCAGATCTCAGGACTGCCTGGGGACAGGATTTCAGCACCAGTCCCTGCAGAACTCATGAGTCAACAAAAACACAGGCTTACCCAGACCTTTTTATTCAATAAAAATTAACAAAAATGTCAGTTCTACCTGCTTAGTTCCCTCAGAAGGGAAGCGCTGCCTCGGTGGATGACTGGAGAAGATTCTGATTCAAGCTTCTCAGGGCCTACTGGCCCCATGTACTGTGGCCTCCCACCTATTCCTCTTGCAGGGGAAAGACCTGTTCCCCAGGCTGTGGGGCGGGGCTGGGAGCAGGTGTGGGAGCTTCCAGGAACAGCGCTCCACGGGCTCCTCGCATTCCAGCCGCTTTCTCCCCAGTGACAGTCAGTGTCTTCCTCTTGTGAACTCACAGATCTGGGTGAGCTGCCTGGGGTAACTACCAGACAGACACTCCCATCCGGGCACCAGTGGTGCTCACCGGGCTGCCTGCACCCTACGCTCTGCCCCTCCACGTGCGAGCTGGCTCGGCCACAGACACTTCCTCCACACATCCTGACGGGTGCGAGATGGCCTAGGGCTCTGGGTGGTATTACAGATCTTGGGACACAAAATAGTTGCCAGGTTCTGGTGCCAAAGTAGATGGGTAAGAAAATGGAAAATGTCTCAGAAAGGTACAAAGTACTCCTGCTTTTAGCAAACATCATTACTAAAGAATGCCATTTTTAGGTTCCATGGAGCAAAACTCTTCTTTTTCTGTGGGATGGTGATGAACCGCCCATTTCCATGGAGGGGTGTCTTTAGGAAGAGGCTGTAGGTAATCAGGCTCCCCTGTCTGCTGCCTGGTATCTCTGAGGGCTGTGAGGAGGGCAAGGGTCAGGTACACGTGCGTACAACTAGAGATATAGGTCACTGCCACCTGACCTCCCAAGTGACTGGACCAGCTTCTCACCATTGTACACATCCAGCCTACATTTCTCAAGATGAGTGGGTCTGCTTCTTACAGGGTTCCTGGCCCTTGTGCACAGCTGCTGTGGCCACTCTCCGAGTGCCAGCTTCTGTCAGTGATGTGGCCACCAACACTTGTGACATCTTGTAGCCCAGAGAGAATAGCTGCAGCCCCAGCTCTAGAGGGTCCTGCCCAAGAGCAGAAGGACACAGAGTTCCAAGTCCCCTGCCAGTGGCCGTGTGTGAGCTCATGAGGAGGACCTCCTGGACACCCCACAGCAGTGTCACCTCGGCAACCTTATGCTAGTCCTTGAGGCTACAGCCCACATCAAGAGGGCAGCGCCATTCTTATGTCAAACTCTAACTTACACCTTGCCATGGCCCTTGCTATGGCCTCTGCTGGCCATTCTCTGTTCTGAATCTGTCCTGAGGAGGGTACCAGGAGGCCTGGTTGCTCCTCTGGGTAGCAGAGCTCCTTTCCTACCTGCCCCTTTTCCTGCTGTGGTCCCCACTGATGGTACCAAGTGGCTGACACAGACACAGGCTTCAGACCCTGTGATTAGAGCTCATGAGACCTGTAGAAGCATCTGCCAGCCATCTAGGTGCAAGGCCTGGCACTCATGCAGGGACCACCCCCCCACCCCCACCCCCGTCTACAGACTCTGTAGCTGGCACCTGTGGTCTAGTGCCCCAGCCAACAGGAAAGCTTATTATTCCTCAGTCCACAGGAACTGCAGGGAGGAAGTGAGTGAGACTCAATGCACAGACAGAAGGGGCTATGCATCTGTGGGCCCTACCACCTTCCCCAGGCCTCTCTGGTGGTCCTCACCTTCGTCTGGATCAGGGCTTTGGAGTGGTGTAGGTGGAAGCTGTTGACTGCTAGCAGTTCCTCAGGCTCTTTCAGGCTAAGACCCTGCGGAATGTGAGCCTGGTTTCCAGAAGGGATCTGGGGAAACAAAGCTTTGTCACAGCCAGTATGGTCCTCATTTCTCTCCTGACACCTGAACATTTCCGCCACATTTCATTCTACAATGGCAGAGTTTCAGACATACTGGCCCCTCACAGGTCAGGCCATAGGGCTCCCCACTCAGCTCTGTCACCTGCTGCTCATCACCCAGCCTCCAGGTGTGTGCACCACTCAACCTGCCTATGTGGTAGGAATGTGTCCCCCAACTGCTGTGCTGATGGCACTTGGAGAGGCTTTGGGAGGTGACTGTTATCAAAGCAGGCCTGAAGGACAGAGCCTATGTGGTGGCATTCACACAGACAGAAGAGAGACCTGGGCTGGCATGCTGATTCTGCCTGCCCTGTGACATCCTCATCACCTTGTGCTGCAGCATGGAGGCCTCACGAGGTGCCATGCTGTGCTCAGTCTCCAGCCTCCAGGACTATGAGGCAAGTAAACTTCTACACTTCAGGAATCCTCCACGCTCAGTGCTTGGTTACAGCAACACAAAACAGACTCGCAGATTAGGACAGCCCCACCTTCCCTGACTGGGGTCTCCCGCTGCCAGCGGAGTTCAGGGTCCTCTCTACTCCTCCCCATCCCTCCCTCCCTCACCTTCTCACCAAGCCATGGCACAGGGGCCTCACCAGGGCTACTACCTGCCTGGGCAGCCCCTTTTGAGCTCCTGTTTAAAATGTCCGTAGCACGAATGAGCAGAAAAGGCCTCTGCCTCTAGAGTGGCAGCTGGCAGGCCCTCCCTGTAGTGTACACCTGCTCTGATAGCCCCCTGCACCATGGCTGACCTGCTATGTCCGACCTGAGCCACTAGGGCTCTGCCTCTGCATTTGGCATTCATCTTGGGGCCAGGACACGTTTATGGGTCACCTGTTTGGCCCATCACTGCCAGTGCTGGGTAAAGCTTACTATAGTTAGGAATGTAGGTAGCTCTACCCTACTGCAGAGGATGCCCTCACCTAGAAACTCCATACCTCAAATCCTTGTGCTGCCCATGCTCATGCCAGAGCCTGCCCTCATTGCCTACTTCCTGTGCCCACAGCACTGGAGGTACAAACAACCCCTGAAGTGGGGAGTCCTCTGGAGGCACTGAGCTGGCCTGCAGGCTTGCACACTTCAGGGCCTTGGCCACCCACTCCTGAGTGCATGTGCACTGTCGCCAGTCAGCTCCTCACCCTCCTGCAGCTGTGCACAGGTGTCTGAGGACACCCTGCTGCCTGTGACAGTGGGGCACCCAGCCCTCGCACCATGCTCTGCCCAGCCGTCCCCAGCCCTGCACTGCCGTCACTCTTAGGTCAGTGGCTCTGAGGCCTGGGGAAGGCAGCTGCTCCTACTGCAGACCACACATTTTCAGCATCCATTCTTTAACAGGTGAGTGGTCCTTAGGTGGCCTGAGGTGGCCACCGGAGAGTCCCATCCCCCAGCCACATTACCTTCTGAGCAGCATCCACGCCAAGAAGGAGAAAGAGGTTTTCCTGGCAGCGGGACTTGCACTGTGATATGGACACGGCGCTGGTGCTTTGAAGGTTTCTCCAGAGCTTCCTTGATTCAGAACTAGAAAACCATCAAACCCGTTAGGTGACTGCGAGCCTTCCACGTTGGTCCAAAGCCCAGCTGTGGCAGCAGCTCCCAGCTGTGTGTTCACTTGTGGGTTTCTGTGTGCACCCAAACACCTTGTTGTCTGCACCACCCCTTCCTGTCTTTCCACAGGGCCTCCCCAACAGTGGAGTGCACTCTGAGGGCTTCTCCCAAGAGTCTCAGCCCCGTGGGCAGCACCAGAAACAACACAGGCTGACCCTGTGTCTGTTTGATTGTTCCAAGAGCCTCTCTGCGCATGCCCATGCCCATCCCCACCTGTCCCTCCTGCCCACGCAGACACCAGGGGCCTGGTGCCTGGGTCAGTTTGTTCTGGTGCTTGAGGGTGGCACCTCTGGAGCACTCATGTGGGCTGTGGTTCCCATGGGACACCCACAGGCAGCTTCCGGAGGGACAGCCTCTCTAAGTGGTAAGCACAGAGCCACCCACAGCTGCTCTAGCAAACAGTACAAAGCAGAGCTGCCGAGGAACCTGCTTGGTTCCGACCTAAGTTCATTACCACAGTCTGTGCACAGACGAGAGGCCAGGGTTTTCTTCCTTGTTTACTTCTAAGAAATGGTCTAAGGTGGAAACGTCTTCAGTGGTCTGTTCAACTGTAACCTCTTGAAAAGCAAACCTAAAAATATTTTCATAGTTGACAACAAGCTAGAAAGAAAGAACATTACCAAGTTAGGGGCATGCACACATTAGGCCACCTTATGCCAGCTGACTTGGAACAAGTAAAATTGGTACTTGACTATATTTAACTGGATGATCAGTGCTGCTATCCCTTGACAGTCACTCCTGGAATTTCTGCGCTGTGCACAATCATGCAGCGAGAGCCCCAGGACCTCAGGACATGGGTGAAGACACAACTCCAACTCCGTCGGCAGCACGGGAGAAGGTGCCTCCTCATATTACGCAAAGCTCCTGGTAAGCCAGGCATGTAACCGTGTGCAGGCAATGTGTGTTTCACACTACTCAGCTGGGTGAAGTTTTTACATTTGCCTAGTGTGTCCTGCGAAATTCCGATTATGCTCAAATGTTCCCTAGCATAGCACAAAAAATCTCTAGTTTCCAACAAACAATACAGCAGTGCTAACTATATGAAGAGTGGACCACAAGTCCAGGGTCCATCCAGTTCTCTTCCTTAGTGATTTTCCTTATCTCTGTTCTTTGCTGTTTGAGGTGAACCAGTTTTGGAAGAGATGAGAGAGAAAGAGGGGTAATGTGAGATCAGCAAAGAAGGGGCAGTCTAGGGGGGAGGCAGAAGTAGGAGAAGCCGCCCACTGCAAAGAGGGCCAGGTGTGTGTGCGTGCACTGCGGGAGCAAGGTGAGGGGCTGAGCACTCCCCAGCTCATCACTCTGAAACTGGATTGCAACTATGTGCTCTTAGGGGCCTGGACTTCCCATAGCTTCAGCTTCAGAGCTGGGGCACGGAGCTCCTTCCCCAAGAACCCCAACGGGGCCACGTAAGTGCAGCCTGAGGGAAGAAGCCCAGCCTGGGGAGGAATGGCCACGGAAAACAGACCGGCTTTGGTGGCTCCACACGACCTTGGTCTAACCCGTTTCTACACCACCAGAAGGACAGGATGGCAACCACCTGGCAAGGAACAAAGGTCAGCAGAGAAGAGCCCACTCCAAGGCTGGCAGGTCCCGCCCCCCAGGCTTTAGTGCCAGTGCACTACAACCTGCAGGAGCTCTGTGGATCTTTTAGTATTCAAGACATTGCCCACTGAACAGGGTGACAAGTACTGCAGAAATACCTCTGAAGATGGGTCAACGGCAGTTCCTGTCACCCAGAGTTCACCCTGGTGTGGCTGCTGGGAACCATGCTCCCATGCAGCAGGAGGAGCTCTCCACCGCTGAAGTTCTGCAGGTCTCTGCAGCAGTTCCAGGCTCTGTGAAAACTGCTCAAACTTGGCTGAAGATTCCTGAAAGCCTTCGAACTGCCCCCAGGCGCCACTCAGCTCTCCTGGGTCTGCACCCCTCCCACAGCTGGAAGGGAGGCCCTCTCCCAGGCAGCTGTTGGCTTTGCCATCCAGCAAAGGATTGCTGCAGAAGGTCCTTATACGTTCCAAACCGTCACCACTCTGTCCCCCAGCTACCTGGTGGAGGGAAACCTCGCCTGGTGCCCCCGCGTCACGCACAGACTCTCCCCTCAGCTCTTGTTGGCCTTGCATCTTCGCCCAGCCAGGCCAGCAGACCAATGGGAGGCAGCTCTGAGAGACGTGCGGCGGGAGGGCAGGCAGCCAATGAGCCGAGCTGCCCACCCCTCCGCCGCGCTGGACGCCCTGGGGCGTCTCGCTTCCTGCAGGGAGTCCACGTGCAGCCGCGGAGCCCACAGCTCCTGGGCGCTGGGGACACGAGCCGCGCCGCTGCCTGGCACTTGCAAGCCCGGTGACGCGTCTGGTGCAGGACTGCGTCCTGGGGCAGCACAGGTGTGGCGAGCTGAGGACCCACGCGGGTCTGGGCGGCCCCGCTGAGCGCGGGAGGGCTGGGCCCCGCGCGAGCCCCGGAGGAAAGCGAGCGCAGCCCTAGCGGAGGGCCCGAGGGCAGCGCGCACCGGGGACACCGCCCGGCACGGGCTCTGGGGCAAGGCTCAGGCCTTCACCCACCTTGGCCGCATGTTGAGCCTGCGAACCTGGTTGCCAGCAACCAGCAACCCACCGTCCACTCAAGCCCGCGCCATGTGTTGCCCGGCAACGGCCCCTGCCGGGCTGCTTCCGGCGCACGCTGCCGTGACGTTAACACGCCGCCCGGGCGCGACCGGCGCGGCCCACCCCGCCCGCACCTGAGGGAGTGTCGCGTGCCACTCCAGCCCAAGCGGCGCTCTGATGTCGGGGTTGCTGGCGCCTCGTCCTCTGCCCGCCCAGATCGCACAGCAGCGCGCACGGAGCCTTCGCCGCCCCCACCCGCCCGCGCCGTGCAGTTCTGTGCAGCTGCGGGAGGTCTCCCTCCGGGACGCGGCTGCCCGAGGACCGGGGCCCAAGCTCGTCTCGCTGACACCTGGACTCCGAGCGCAGCCGGTCCCAGTCGCCCTAACTGGCGGGAAGCTGAGTGTCCGCGGCCTGAAGAGCAGGAATGGGGAGCCTTTGGCCTTTTTGGGCCCACACAGTTAGGGGCCTTCTCACCAGCCAGCCCAAGGCAGAACAGGGCCAGTGTGGGCCACCACGTCTCCCCCTCCTGTTGCCCCCAGTCCCCAGGGTGAGGACCCTGAGGAGCTAGCCCTGCCCCTCTGCCTGCGGAGGCCCGCTCCCCACGGCCTACGCCCCTGCAGGGCGCCTGAGTTGACCCACTCCACACCAGCCACGCCCTGCCTCCCCGAGGGCAGCACCTTACCCTCCAAGCCCTTACACACACGCAGTCCATAGCCCAGCTCCCTTGTCTCCCGCCCTCCAGCCTCCTAAGAGATGTCCTTGTGTGCATTATGCAGTCCCCACCCTTCTGCTGGGAAGATACTGAAAATTTTGATTTTAAAGTGACAAGATGAGATCATTCTCTGCATTCCCCCACCCACACTGCCTGTGTGGCCTACGGGCCTGGCACACCCAGGTGGCCCTACCACCAGACTGCTCAGGATAGGTCCTGGCTTTGCCGCTCTGGCATCAGCAGTGGCACTGCAACTGTCTGGCTTTGTGGTGAGCTTCAGCTTAACTCATCATGACCAGGGACAACGTCAACCAGCAGGTTCTGCTGTCTGTCCATTCCCAGCGCTCTGGCTCCCCTCGCCCAATGCCCAGGCCATCCTTGAGTCTGGGGAGTGAAATGGCCTGGTATGTGGGGCAGGGCACTGAGGCCTGGGCCCACAGGACGGATAGGGAGAGGGGCAGGAGCCACTTTCCCATTCCCATGCCCAGCTCTGCATAGGCCTCAGGTTCTGAGTGGACAGCAAAGAGCCCACTGTACCCCTTAGGATGGGTGCAGGAGGGGGTGATCCAGGAACCAAGTGGCAGGGCCTGTGGGCTCTAGTTGGGATAACCTGTGTTCCTTGAACAGCAGCTGAGTGGTGTCCCCACAGGTGCCTGTGTCCTCATCCCCAGAAGATGTGGGTGCGCATCTTTACCCTGGATCAGACCCCACTCACAGGTACAAGGATCTTGAAAGGAGAAGGTAGCAGTGGGTTATATGCTTGAGCCTGAATAAACCATGGTGTTTATAAGAAGGTAATAGGCGGGGCACGGTGGTGGATGCCTGGAATCCCAGCACTTGGGATGCTGAGGCAGGAGGATTGCCTCGAGTTTGAGGCCAGTCTGGGTTACATAGTAAGTTTGAGGCCAACCTGCACTACATAGCAAGACCCTGTTTCAAAAAAGAAAAGAAAGAAATGGAAGGCCAGAGTTGTAGATGTAAAATGCAAGCAGATATTGGAGATGCAGGGCCAGGAGAAAGTAGTGCTCACTCACAGAAGGAAGACAAGGAGAGGGAGATCCCTTGAGGCCTCCAGCACCCAGGACAGGTTGTTCCAAACCCATACAACTGATGTGCCTGTGTGATCCCTAGTGACGCCACCAAAGAAGGACTACCTTTAGGAAGGGCAGAGGGGCCCCTGTCCTCGGTACCAAGCCCTGGCTGCAGGAGAGTGTGGTAGGCCGCCCCTGCCCGTGGGGCAGCATCCAGGTGGCCTTGTCCTGCTGCCTCCTGGTGCAGCCACACAGGATGCAACCCCAGGGCTGGCACCAGCAGCCCCCTGAGGGGCCTGACTACAGAGGAGCAGCTGCTGAAGCGTAATTGGTGCCACCTGCTCAGGGAGAGTGAGCCAGGGGGAATTGGTTTCCATCAAAGCTGGGGTGGGGGTGAGGACACAGGCCATGGCCCCCAGAGGCCATGAGGGGACTGTGTAGTGTGCCAGGAGGAGTGCAGGCGACCCTCCTAGGATGCCCTTCCTCATCAGTGTCCACCACAGCCCCAGCTCTGGGGAGCTGGCAGGCTCCTCTCTGGGACTTCCCTGTCTCAGCCTCAGGAGGAAGGGCAGTTTGGGGCGTAGGGCAGGTGCTGCTCTGCAGGAGCAGAGTCATCCTGTACTCCTCCAGCTCCCAGGTGTCCTGCTCTTCCAGAATCCTGGCACCTCAGCCCCTGCCTCTCAATCTGTGATGTCCAGGCAGCAGGACCAGCTCCAGAACTAGCTGAGCCCACTGCCAGAGGGGTGGCTGCAAAAGGAAGAATGCAGCCCCCCATTGTGCTCCCCCACTGCCCAGCTTCCGGAGCCCAGTCATGTGCTGGGCTGTGGGGTGCACAGGAGGAGACCTGGAGCCACTCAGCTCTGGCTCAGGGGTAGGTGGCTGAGGCCAGGCCACTGCAGACAGGGAGGGAGGGAAGCTGTCCTTAGACCCTAGACTAGCAGGCCTGAACCTTCCCGTTGTTCCCGGGGAAAAGACAGAGTTGCCCTGCGCCCTCCAGCAGCCATGGCAAGGCCGGCAGGGGTGAGGCAGATCTGTTTTCATTATGCGGCTGCAGTACAAGAAGACGCCAATCACTGAGGTGCAGAGCAGAGCCCAGGAGAGTGCGTAGGGAAGCGGGCAGGGAGAGCTGGCTGCCTCACTAGGCCCGGCCCATGCCTGCACCCCATCTGAGGAAAGGTGTGGGCACAGAGCTGAGAGGCACTCTTGGGGTGACATCTGGGAGACACAGGGCCTTGCATGCACTGGGGTAACCCTGAGTTGGGTCCCTTTTTCCCTCAATGCAGGGGTGGGTGATGTTGATTCCGGAGCGCCAGCACTGGCCATCCATAGCTCAACCTCTGTCCCCAGAGAGGGGACATGGGATGATGAACCTGGAGCTGAGCCATGATGACAGGAGTCTGGCAGCACAGGGCTCTGCAGCAGAAGCTAGAGATGCCCAGGCTTCCCGCAGTGGAAAGGGCTAGAGATAGGGCGTGGCAACCCCCCACACTTTCCACTGCTCAGCTTGTGACATCTGAACCAGGACCTGGCTGGGGTCTGGGAGTAAAGGCAGCTCCCCACATGCCTGCAACCTGTCCTCTGTCCTCCCAGAGATGTCTTGTGCTAAGCCCATGGGGCCCTAGAAGCACTGGGAAGGGTAGGGGTGCTGAGTGGACACTTTCTGGGCAGCCCCCCGAGTCTGTTCCTCAGGACATTCCCACTTGGCCTGCAACCTGAGGGGCTTCCCGGAGGGCAGTGGCAGGCAAAGGTGGGTTAGAGTCCTTAATTTGCTGACCAGTGCCCTGTAGCCCCACCCCTGGAGCAGAGCAGCTTGTCCACTCCCACCCCGAGGCTGGGGACTGCAGGTGAGGGGGCATCAACAGGTCTAGGAGCAGCCTCCCCCTTCATCAAAGTCCAGGAAGCAAGGCACACGGCCTCCACAGAGGGCCTGTCACACTAACTCCTGTCTTCCTTGGTTTCCACAGCTTGGAGAGGAGCAGAGGTGGAGGAGCCCAGGATGCAATCCTTGCCCCTCACGAGGATCCATCCTCTCCTTCCCTGCAACGCTGAAAGGGCCACTTCATTTTGACAGGGCCCGGGGTCAAGGGACCTCACCAAGACCATCCACCTAGTGAAGGGTGACAGGGACCTGGGTCTGTGCCCTAAGGGTCCACAAGACTTGCTCCCAGGCTTATGTGCCCGGGTTGCAAACTAGACTGCAGCACAGTGGATGGGCTGGTTGAGACTCCAGCAGGCCCAGGAGACAGGCACACACCAGGTGGGACACAGGTGTGCATCCTCTCCCCCCAGCCCTGAGGACGCTCTCACCCTGCACCCAGTGCATTCAGCAGGGAGAGGGTGACAGCCAGTATCTTCATCTGAAGGAAAGCTGAGCCTGTCGTGCTGCAGGAGGCTGCCAAGCCCTTCCTGGCAGCTATTCCAGTGTCTGACCTGCCGCTGGCAGGCTGCCTGGGGGCTGCAGCTCAGCAAACGGGAATAGCCAGCATGACTCATCGGCTGGCTGGCTCACCTGCACGTCTGGGAGTATGTGCACCAGTGCATGAGTGCATGTGTTTTGTGTCCTGGTGCATCCATCTCTGCACATGTGCCTGAGAATGTGCATGTGTGTGTGCATGTGTGTGTGTGCATGTGCACAATGTGGCCTAGGACACCCAGAGTGACCTGTGGTCTGTGACCATGTGTGTTGCCTCCTTCTGCTGCAGCCCAGCCTCTGCTGTGCCCCTACTACTCACAGCTGCCCCCTCCCCAATGTCCCACCCCAATGACCGTGTGTTCATTGACCTGGCCTGAACACTGCACTGCCAGGGTTAGGGTTTGGGTCTTCTGTGGTGGCTGTCTTTCTTCTGTTCCAGCTCAGTCTCCCTGCCTGCTTGGCTTTGGGGCTCCACTCCACCCCCAGGCCTCTTCCCTCAGGTCTGCAGCAGCGAGGTGCCAGGCCTTGCCTCCCCTGTCCCTCTCTAATGTGCCCCTCTGCATGGCACCCGGGTGATCCCAGTGTGTCTGCTAACCCAACCCCCCCCCCTCCCGTTAGCTTCTGGTGTGTCCAAGATCCTTTTACTTCCTCCCCAGCTTGCTGTCTGGGTCAGGGAGTGCCTCTTCCTCTGCTGCCCTCCTTCCCAGGGTGCATGTGTCGCAGAACATGTGCACTCCCATTTGTCTCTGCTCCCCTGATCTCAGCAGACCCTGCTGAAGTCCCTTCTGAGGGACCCCTTGGCCAGCTGACTTTCAGCTCTGGCTTCTACCTGCACCCTCTGTGCCCACACCATTCCACTCCCTCCACCTGGAGCCCCCTTCCAACACTTGG